GGGGGGGGAATAAAGAGGGGGGGAAAGATATGAGGGGGCCCCTGGCCGGCAGCGCGGTGGGAGGGGTTTGCCCGGAGCCGGTTGCATCAGCCGCGGCCGGCAGCAAGGCCCAGGCGCCATTTTAGAAGCCGAAAAAATAAAGCAAATTGGGGGGGTTGGGGTTTTTTTGGGGGGGGGAAAGGAACACACACAAATATAAATATAACGACCCCCCCGCCACCGCGCAACACCTACACCAATTAAAACAGAACGATTAAATCCGCGTGGATTAGGGGTTTGGGAACCCCCCCCTAAAGACAAAGGGGCTTCGAAGCCCCCCCCGCCCCGGGGGGGCCCAACCTGTAACGAAGTAAATATCTATAAAAAAAAGGGGGGGGGGGGAAAGGGGGAAAATGAGTTTAAAAAAAAAAAAAAAGGAAAAAGAGAAGGCGAGCGGCCGCGCCATCTTGGCCCCAAAGCTCCCCAAGTCGGGTTTATTTTTGGGGGGGTATTTTTGTTTTTTTTTTAAAGCCAACCCTGGGTTTTTTGCTTGAAAAAAGCAGGTTTTTGGGTAAAGCTAAGCCTGCCTAGCAATCTTTATTGCTAGATTGCACCCCCCCACCTTTAACCCCCCGCCCCCGTCCCCAGCCTTCTCCCCCCCCCCATTTCTCTGCGCAAAACAATCCTAAAATGGCACCTAAAAAATAAAAATATAAAATAAATCATTCTTTTTAACATTGAATTTTCAAAATTAACCCGGATTCGATGAGTTCTAACAGCCGCCCCGCAATCTTTATGTACAGATTGCTCGCTCGGGTCCCCAATTTCTGTCTCCCCCGCAAAAAACCAAGCGATTTTGGGTATTTTGATGATTTTTTTTTTCCCCTTTTGGTTTTTGCGTGGGAGCTCATCAACCCTCCGCCACCGGCTCCCACATCTTTTTGAACAAAATACCCCCAAATTTTAAGGTTTAACCACCTTTTAGCAAAGCCTACGTCCTCCTCAAGCACACAGTTGGGGCTCTTCCTCCCATTATTTTTTCTCTTTGGTACAAATAAAGGATTTTGGGGGTTTTTTTGAGGGGAATTCAGCTCGTTGAAAATTCAACACTTACTATCCAATTATTTTTCTCGCCGACAGCGCTTCAAGGTTTGGATTTTGGCATTGGTCGTGTTATCAGAGCAAAAAAAGAATTGCTTTGTTTTTGGTCATGGCTTTAAAAAAATGCAGCAACTTTTTTTTTTTCAGCTTGATGGGTTTTTTTGGGGGGGTTGTTGGTTGGTTTTTTTTCCCTAAAGGGGTGGTTTTGTCGAGCTAAACGATGGAAAAAAAATAAAAAAAAAGTTGCTTGGATTAAAAAAAAAAGGGATTTTGCCTTTGTTTTGGGGGGGGAAGAAGAGGGAGAATATGTTTTTAAGTGGCAGTTTCCTTCGAGTTTGAAACGGCTTCCCAAGGACGGTCCAAAGGACGGAGGCTGCGATGGCGGCTCTTCCACGGCACCGGGATGGGAGCGGGAAGGGGGGAAGAAAGCTTTTTCTTCCCCGTTTTTTTTTGTATTTGTTTGTTTTTTTGTTTGTTTTGTTTTGTTTGTTTGTTTTTCTCGTGGTAAAGGCGACGGCGTCTCTCAAGAGCAACCAAACCTGGAGCGGGGAAAGGAAAAAAAAAAAAAAAGAGGGGGGGTGGGGTGGGCACA